TGCATAAAATTCACTTAAACATCTCTCAAAAGAAAAGAAAATCCTTTAAAACTTGCATTTTAAAGGTTTAAAGAATCTTCACATCGAGTAAAGGCTTGATTCTAAATGAAAGGTTCTTCTTATGGAGGTTATTCAATCTTTAAAAAGGTTCTTCCCACTCATACACCTCATTTTACAAAAATAGCTCTCTAAAGAATCATCTACTGAAAGGTTCTTTGGGGAACCAAAAGTGGGTCTTATATGGCTTTTATAGCACCTTTATTTTCTATTTATTTGCATGTATTCTATAGTTGTGTAGTGTGTTTTCCACATACTGCTGAGATAAATGGTTCTAAACGATTTAATCAATTCAAAACAGCCTGTTTTTGCAGCTTAGTTTGCATTTACTGACTGTATGAACTGGAGTACTTTAGCCATACTTTCATACTACATAAATCCTGACCTTTTTTTTTTTATAGTTCACAGTAAGTTATACTGTGCCCTAAAGCATATCCAGCCTGAGAAACCTTAATAAAGACCTGGATGCAGTTTGAGAGGGTCAAGAGAAGTTTTGGTGATTTGGGTGACTATTAGAAGAGTGTATCACCAAAATCCCCACAATACGATGTAATTACAATCCTTAAGGTGCACTTTAAGATATAAGTGCAATGATTTATAAGTGCTATGCTATGATTTATTACCTTTTTTCAACTGCAAATTATGTCCCCAAAGACAATCTGTTTTATCTAATGAGAAGCTTTTCAGTCTGTTAATCTCACTTCAATCATTTTTATTGCAGCAAAACAGGATCTTCAAGCAGACAGACTGACTCACACCGTCATAAAAACGTTAAATCTATATAATACAATATCGATACTTGGCGTATGGGTATCGATACAATATTGCCATTCAAAATATCGCAATACTATGCTGTATCTACCCCCCCCCATCCCTAGTGACAATTGACTTAGTGTTCGTCAGCAATGTTAGCCTTGTAGCTTCAACGCTAAACTACAGAAGCACAATTTGGACACCAAACATGTCTTGGCTAATTAACAACATCTGGGGTAAATTGAGAATATTTTATATAAGATTCTTCACCAACTTTTCCATTCATTTACAAGGGGATTCGACTGTGAGACTCCAAGCTTGCCAGCTCTGTCCATGGTGCTGAACTGGCTAGTTTCTATGTGGGAGTTGTTCATGAGTCTGAACATGCTGTAGTTGCTTGATTTAGATATTATTCAAATCATAGACAGTGGTGTTCTGTGTGTGTGTGTGTGTGTGTGTGTGTGTGTGTGTGTGTGTGTGTATGAGAACAGGTGGTAGGAGTCTTGTAAAAACTGTCTAGAGAACACAGCAGGAATGCATCCCTTTAGGAAATCAGAGAACCAGCGAACCAAGAACACACCTCTACCTTGGGGGGGACTGCTCTTGTGTGTGTGTGTGTGTGCGCGCGCACACTTGTATGAGTGTCTTGTCCAGTGATTTTGTACCAAAGATAGTGGAATTACCTGTGGAATAACCTTGTCCTTTTTTAATGAACAGGCAGAGCACACAGAAAATAACTGGACCATGTGTTTGACTGTGTCAGTGCTGTAGCCAGAATTTCACTTTTCACTGGGGCCAGCCAGTGCCGACTGAGTAATAAGTGGCATAAGCAGTTGCTTAGGGAACCATGGCCACCAGTGGGCCCCCCAACACCTTCTGGGTTATAACTGCACCATTGTGTTGCCTAATATGCTCGGGTGAGGGGGAAAAAAACTGGTGAATTGTTTTATGTGGTGTCAATGTTCTGCCATTTATTTCAGCTTGCAGTTGGACAAGAAGTAGTTGTGGATCTAATGAAGCAGGTTCAACTTAGATGAGCTTAAGTTTGAGCTTCACAAAACATAACATAGTCTTGATTAACTCATTTTACAACAGTTAGATTGACTCCTGGGTCCAGAATGCTAAGAAGCTTATCTGTAGTTTAAACTGTAATTTATTAGAACCCCAACCAGCATCAGCTATGCATAAATTAGCAAGTTATACATGTATGCAATTTAGACAGCTTGTGGTAGTCATTGTTATTAGTTAGCCTCTAATTTTACAGTACATAAGCTAGCAAGACGGGGGACCTTAAAGGCTGGATCTAGCCCAATGTCTCTTGGCCTTAATGCTAACAACATTGCTACAGTAGGAATGATGACCACCTGTTGGCCCACTTCATTATATATGTTACCTATTTTTGAAAAAAGTGTCTTTGCACATCATTTTTTTTTATTGTGTGTCATTTTTAACAGTTAGAAATCTGGAGGCCTGGCTTTCACGTGGTGAAAGAGGTTAGCCACCCCTCCATAGCTACAGCCCCAGGGTGTGTGCGTGTGTGAGAGAGAGAAAGAGAAAGAGATGCCATATGTCAAAGGAATAACATCAAGAGAATAATCTGGCAATTTATTTTTTAAATTGTTTGAATTATTAATGGTGGTTCTTCAGGGGGTGATTTAACATCTGCCATTGGATTCCTACTTACATGACGCCATACAAACTCATTGCCTCTAATGATCAAAAATGGATCCTTGACCACATCAGGCCTCTCACTCAAAGGCCAGATAACCAAACTAGAGCTCTTACTTTGGATATTAAGTGGAGAACTAATTCATTGGAAAAGACAATTACTCTTGGAACAGTTGAAGGTAGAAGAGGAAACAACCAGCCAGCAACAAGATGGATGGATGCAATCAGAGGAATCATGAACAAGCCATTAAGAAGCCTTAAGAGCCAAGCAGAAGACGGAATATTCTGGAGCATATCTATATGGTCAACAGGAGCTGGAACCTAACAGCACTTATATCTATCTGTCCGTCTGCCTATCTATCCATCTATTTTTAATGTAGACTAGGCTCTCTCAGTGTCAAGGATTATGCCAAGATCAGTTGGTATTGGTCAATTCCATTTAATATTTAAAAATATATATCTTGAGGGAATGTTTTTATTGTTCATTTAAAATAAACATTATTAATTCATACTGAAGAAGTTCCATTACTTAATCTATAGGGAACCGAAAAACAGGGAACAGAAACCTGCCATTATGACTCATACAAAAACTACTGAACATGATGTGTTCGATTCATATTTTGGTAAATACTAAGAGCACATGACTTATTTTATTGTCACAGGTGGAGGGATGATTCCTTTAAGTACAATATATACAAATGCAGCCACCTCATTACTGACCTCATATCAGTCTCCTCCCTGTACGTTCGGATCTCACACACTGTGTGCTTCACAGTTAAACTGATCCAGAGACAGCTTTTTTTCCCCACTCGTCTCATAAATACAGCCCCTTATCTCCTTTAGAATGAGTACAGAGTGCTGCAGAGGCAGGCAGTAGCGCTTTGTAGGCTGGAGAGCTTGGCGCTCTTATCCCCACAGCCAACAAACCATTACGGAACGCGTATAATACCCACACATACACACTCCACTCTCAGAGGGGGTTATGGTGGACAGGATAGTGGGTGCCAAAATGACCAGCAAGGGCAGAAAAATGGGAAAGACAGATGGCAAAGAAAGAAGGGTGAGTGGACATCGACTGCATTTTGTGTGTGTGCGTACATATGATTGTATAATGATGTGGGTGTGTACTCAAGGCTAGAGTGCTTTTGAATTGTTTAAGGTGTGTGTGTTTTGGGGCCAGTATAAGTGAATAAGCCACTGTACTTACACACACACACACACACACACACACACACACACACACACACACACACACACACATAGGTACACAAATTAAGACTGGCATGTTATTATTATACATTTATATTACATTAGTATGTTAACTCCCACAATTGCCCCACAAAAGTACTGAATAAGTAAAAATATATGTATATTTTGGCACATACTGACAACAATTAACAATATATTTCATTTTCATAGAGGAATGAACTATACATACAAATTCAGTCCCCCATATATAAATATATCTGGTATGTATGTGCGCAACTGAGGAGTTTTTAAAATGAATAAGGCACTCAAGGCCATGAAGTCAATCACTTATTCAATTTAATTCCGTAAATCTCAACAAAAAGGTCTATGTGCAACTCTTGCTAGTATCTTTATTGATGGACTGCCCATCTCATAACCTTCTACTGATTTTTCTCTCTCATTCAACTTCACATTTGTTTAGACCAGTGTTCCATTCAACATGGACTTTTGCTTCATCATTTGTACCTCATTTTTAGCCCAGTTCAAATCATGATCGATTCCAGACAGGGTAGCACACTGAGGCACAACACATTCCCAAATAATAATAAAATATATATATATATATATATATATATATATATATATATATATATAAATTAAATGTTTCACATATCACAGTTCACCAAATAGAGGCAGCATGATCAGACCTTGTTACTTCAACATTACATCCAATTGCAATTAATGTGCATATATTTTCAGTTTTTTTTTTGTTTTTGTTTTTTTTTGACTGCAAGCATCCCCGTCCTCCCCAGTCTAATCTCATCTCAGAAACCACAGAGAGAGCCTAAGCTCCAAAGGATCCTGCCTAAACCACCACCACGGCATATGGCCCCCAATAAACACCAAACAAGTCGCATTTCAAAAGCCCTGGACCAGCCTCAAGCAGACCCAATCTGATCTACGGCTTTGCTTATGTACAGTGACAAGAACACGGTTCTAATGCGCTACCCTCTGGAAATACTGAGCAGTAGAGTACAGGCACAGAAACACACACACACTCCCAAAATGGTGTATCAAGAGACCCCCCAACGCACTATCCAAAAAGCACACGCATTGAAAGTTAAGTTCACTGATGCAGAGCCAACTGAGAAACGTACATAGCGTTTAAAGCGCTATCGGAAATACTGAGGCGTACAGTGCACACACACAAATACACACACACTCATAAAATGGTGTATCCAGAGACCCCCTAATGCACCACCCAACGAGCACACACATGCAAAGTTAAGTTGGATATCCACTGGTGTGGAGTCGAAAGAAACTGGCCACGTTACCTGGTTTTTACCGCGCTGTCCGTCTTCGAGTTCCGAAGAGCTGTTCATGATTCCCCATCGATCATTGACCATCCTCCGGAAAAAGTGCCAATCCAGAGCCGCCTGTTGGTTCACAGACGGGAGAGAGGGGGGAAACCACACACACACACACACACACACACCGTCTATCAGTCGTTTGAACGCTGAACTACTCCACAGAATCAGAAAGATAAGCCGTCGACTACAAGAGAAAGAAGAAGAAGGCGCTGATCTACTCCGCGACCGAGCGAGCTACTGGAGCCCTAAAAGAGGAGGAGGGGGTTCTAGTAGAAAAGCCATCGTGATAAGATACGCACGCGAGAAAGACGAAAGAGAAGATGGAAAAACGAAGTGAGAAACAATCTTGGACGTTGAGAAGGCTCGGAGTTTGCCGTTGTTTTGGGGGGGGGCTCCCTCAGCTGGGACCGCCCGCCGTCCGCTGAGATGATCCCTCACCACCAACCCCTCCTCCTCGCCTGGTACTCTGGTCTTCTGAGTATGAGGGATTAGACGAGCTGGCGTGGCAGCAAACGGCATGAAATGGCCTCGGCGGATGCGCGAGGATAATCCCGAGGCATGGCCGCCTTGCGTTTATGGCGTCTCGGAAGAAGACGGGGAAAAAAAAGTTGGAGCTCGAGAAACGAAACGTATGACTGATACGAAAACACAGGCTTGTTCTGCAAAGTGAATGGCGGGGAAAAAAAGAGAAGGTGTATTCCTGCTGTTGTAGCACCTGTCCGGGAGAGACGGAGACTGGGATGCTGTCCTAGTTGTGTGTGTGAGCGAGAAAGAGAGGCGGGGAGGTGGGGGGGTTGGAGAGGGAGAGTGTGATTGAGTGTGTGAGAGAGAGGGAGGGGGGGTGGAAGAGAGAGAGAGAGAGAGAGAGCAGAGGGAGAAAAAGAGCGCGCGCGAGAGAGAGAGCGGGAAAAGAGGAAGAGAATGGGATAGAGAGAGAGAGAGAGAGAGAGAGAGAGAGAGAGAGAGAAAGGGAGAGAATGGGAGAGGGAGAGTATGACTGAGTGAGAGAAAGAGAGAGAGAGAGAGTGAGAGAAAGAGAGAGAGAGAGAGTGAGAGAGAGAGTGAGAGAGTGAGAGAGGGGTAGAGCGAGAGTGTGATGGAGAGAGTGTGGGAGAAAGATAAGGAGAGGGAAGACCGAGGGAGAGAGAATGTGTGGTACAGGGAGAGAGAGAGCGCGCGAGGGAGAGAGGAGAGAGCGCGAGAGAGAGTGGGAGAGAGAGAAATGGAAAGAATGGGAGAGAAAGAGAGTGAGTGACAGTGTGAGAGAGTGAGTGAGAGAGAAGAGTAGAGGAAGAGAGAGAGCGCGAGAGAGTGTGTGAGAGGAGATGGCGCGAGAGAGTGAGAGAGAATGGGAGAGAGAGAGAGAGGGAAAGAGTGTCTGAGAGAGAGAGAGAGAGAGAGAGAGAGAGTGTAAGTGGGAGGTTGGGGATCCGAGCTGTTCGCCCTCCTTCAGCAATCCGGAGCTGTCAGAACTCAAGCGCGCTCCCGCTGTGCCGTGGCGCGCGCCCTGTCTCGCCGAAGTATGTTAGTTAAGACGCGGAGAATCTTGCTCGAGTCGTCTGGAGCCGCTTCTGTAGAGAAACGTACCTTTATGCAGGCGTTTCCCGCGAGAGACGAGTGAGTGCACGAGGAAGAAAAAGACAGACATCAACACACGCGCACTCATCCTCTCTCGCTCTTTTCTCTCTCTCTCGAAAAGGAACTTAAGCACTAGAATCGCACTGATGTCAAATACGCTTCTAGACATCTGCTCATCCAGAGTTTCCTCTGAAATCAAGGCCATTAGATAGTTTGTCCCCTCTTTACTGCAGTTCAGCTTCTGCTCTGCTGAAAAGGCTTGGCCCTCGATGTTTGAACATAGCTGTTAGGATTTGATTGCATTCAGAGCATTAGTGAGGTCCGGTATTGATGTTGGATGATCAGTTCTAGGCAGCTCCACAGCCCAGTGCTGGAGTGAGGGAGCTCCATCCAGTACCTTTGGGATGAGTTGAAGTGGAAGGAGCGCCATTACTCCAGTGAACGAAGCTCCACTGCTTCATAGCACAGTGCTGGAGGGCTTTGAACCCCTCTACACTATAAACGTAAATTAGTTGAGCACTGCCTCAAAAATCAAGCTTAAATCGTTTTATATATAAGTTATAATTACTTTCTAATTTTCAGTGATTCACACTGTTGCAGGAAACAAGGTTGACTAAATAATTTTAAATGGTTTCCATCGAGATGACAGCCTTCTACTTTTTCAACACCCTGCTTAATTACGAATTAGTTTGGTTAAATTGAATGAAATACTCTTTCTTGTGTAATGCGTTGGCATCAATTAAAACAACTCCATTATATTAAATGGATGGTTTGGTACAGTAATGTAAAATGGCTTAGATAAGACTAGAATCACCCATTACTAAGAACTCTAATAGATTAATGCACGTTTGCCATCCTGTTAGCATTCATTCAAGATGAAAGATTCAAGAGTCTTATTGTCATATGCACACTAAAACAGGCATACTGTACGATGGAATTCTTACTTTGCTTCATGGTTAGATGGTGAGAATTACAAAAACACAAAATGCATTCAAACTTCACATTTAGCTTGAGAGTATTCTATGACAAAAATAGTATTATGCAAAAGAATCATATTTATTAATTAAATGAGTTAATTAACAGAAACCAACAAAACTGCTAAGAGTGCTGGGCAAAAGACTGTAGGACTTAAATTAATTGCTTAACTACATCTAGACCTCAGTAGCTGAGGGTTATACAAGAAAAAGTGTGTGTTACTAAATTTGCATTAATAACTTTAACAAATAAGCAAAGTAAACAAAAAAGTAATAAAGCTAGTGCAATTATGTTTTACAGTGTAGTCAGTAACATGGCATCAGAGCATCTCACATTTGGGCTGCTTTTTCTATGGAGATTATACAAGCAAATACATGTGTCAGCAATAGGGGCACCTCAAAGAAGCTGAATTCACTAATTAGCAGCAACGTCTGGATAATTTTGGACATATTGAGTTCATTTTAGCAACCAATGCTTCTGAAATGACACTTCAGGTGTTTAGCACAAGGAAGTTGCACTTGAATGACTGATAAAGTCAAACATAGGTGGTAAACTCCAAGTTCTGTGTTATATGATTTTGCCAGTGACTTCCTAAACATAAACAAATGAAAGTTCCAACTGGTGACGTGACGGCTTTCCAGCTTTACAAGTTGAAGACCATCTAAATGCACCAATTGCACACTGATTGAGGAGCCCCTGCATAGGAATCAATCAATCAAACAATTGACCAGATGTAGAGTCGCACGTTTTATTTCCATTTAGAAAATCAACAAAACATGCAGGGGAGCACGGGCAACAACGCAGGACACAAATTAACACAGACATTTTATGTTAAAGAAGATCAAGCGGCATGTGCTTCTGGTCACATGACCACATTTTCTGGCTGCAGTCTCCCTGAAAAGCTGACAAGCTCACAGCAATCAAAATTTCACAATGAATGGACCAAGGAAAAGGCCCAAAATTACTTCACTTACGTTAAAAGTAAAGTAGGTTTTTTCCTTTTCCTGTAAAGTTACCATTTGGGAGATGTGAGGTTTTCTTCTAACAACAGCGATACACTGCATTCTATACAGCGAACTGTATGTTCTACCTTCATAAGCAGTACTTGATTTCGGATGCAAGGCTGGGAAACCTACCAGTTGCCGCAGATGTAGAGCTGCAGCACGGGAATAAAACATGCTTACTTTTATGTTTATGCTGGTGTGTGCAGGTGCAGTCTGCTGGTGTTGGGGTGGGCCTGCACTCTCCCCCACTGTGATAACGAGCAGGCCATGAGCAAATGCCATAATTACTACTCTTCATGAACCCCGTTAGTGCTGAGAGCATAGAGGCACTTAGATTCCCTTTAGAATCTCACAAACTCACCCATGTGTTTTGTAGGCGTACTACACTGTTGAAAGAAAAGGACAAAAATAAATCTACATTGTGTTTTGGGAGCTTTGTGAATTATTTACTGATTGTAAACTCTGTAAAAAGAGTTCACTGATTGTGAACTCTTCTGAAAGTCCATTCACAGCAGTACATAAAAACAATTTAATGTTATAGGACTGATGTTCTATTAACGTACATTGCTTAAAGTGAAGGGTAACACTTTATTTGGATAGTCCACTGCAGATGCTTTGTAGTTACTCAGTCTCTCTTTAATATTCAACTAAATGTCAGTGAAATGCAACTGAACTTGAAGTTCAGTGTGAAAGATTATATTAAATCCAAACCTAAACCCAACCTTAACTTCAACCCTAAACCTACTCCTAAACTTAACCCTACCTGTAATGTTGATACTCAACTGAGTATCACCAGACAGTTTATTAATGATTTAAGTATCTGCAGATCATCTATAAGGGATCCAAATTTCTTTAAGGAGTCTGTTTTGTCCCCATATCATGTAAGAGTTTTATACCATTGAATGGTTTTTCCAAGCACTGTATGTACAAGCTAAGAACCAGTTTTTGAAGATGTAGGAGGATTTTGGAAAAGTCTCACACCATACTGTTCACAAAGACAGACCTCCCTTTTAAGTATTTAATTTCCAGCCATTAAGTACAACTTATTAAAAACAAAAAAAGACATGAAATGTATATTTAACAGAAAATTACATCAAAGCCTCAACAGCTAAATGCATTTTTTCAGTGTTCTGTGTGGCCACGTTTTGTCTTTATCATGACTTCCATTCTTTTCAAACACTTGCTTTCAGTTTTTCTAAAAGATATCTGCAGAAATATTTTTCCACACCTCCAAAGTTCAGTCTGCTTTTCACAATCCAAATAATTGCCAAAAAAAAGAAACTTTACAGGAAAACAAAAAAACTAACTTTGATTGTAAGTTAATGTAGCAAGGTTTTGTTACAAGTCATTTTGGACCATCTGTATTGCTCTGGTTGTCCTTCAATTTTGACACAGTGTAAATTGACAGCTGGCCTTTTCAAATTGAGAGGAAAAAAAAAATTAAAAATGCCAAAAAATAGAGAATTTGAATAACTTTAAATGAATACATGGAAACATCCATTACCATGCACTGCTTTTGTTCCATTATTCATTAAACGTTAGTAGAAAACGGAACTCAGTTAAAGCACATTATTTAAAGCCAATCCATCATTTGAGCTGTCCGAGAAATTCTTCTTGTGAGAAAACAGTCATCAGACCTGAAACCTATTGAACATCTTTGAGAACATCTTGAAAGGGAAGAGGTGAAACATTTTGTGCCATCTTAGGTCTCTCTCTGGGAGAGAGCTTGAATAATTTGGAGTCCTCTGTTCTGCAGAAACTTCAGTAGTTTTTTTTTGCAGAACAGAGTTCAAGCTGTGACTAAGGCAAATATTAGACATTCCAAACACAGAGAGATTTTGCTTTTTAGTAAATGTGACGAGGAATCTTGTTTGAGAAATTTGACAAAAAAGTCTTTCATAACTGATGAAATAAAAATAAAATCAGTTCATCGAAGCGGGCTTAGATGTTTGGACCCTACACTCATTGAAAAGATAGTGCTTCAAGGGTTCTTTAGTAAAGACAGTGGTTCTATATAGAACAATGAACACTCAAAGAACTCTTTGCATGCTGAAATGATTCTTTGCAGGATGAAATCTCCAGATTGTTGGAGAATGCGTTGTGTATGGGTTCTATACAGCAC